CTGCCCCGTCGCCATCTTCTGGACTGTCCCCTGTTTGTGTATTTTCTAATTTTCTTCAGCTTGGTATCCCATTGCACTGCCTTGGGTTGCAATTAGCAACAAATACGAATATTCTTGAGTTGTAAAACATAAAAGACTTGCAAACTTTCTTATCCCAGATGGCTTCAAACCACAATGCTCAGATCTAAGCTTTCTGAGTAGGATTACAGGCATGAGCCACTGACAACCAGCATGCATCTGAAGACTTGATGTCAGTGAGATCTTTCTTGGGGAACGTCTGCACATCTCAGTCCTCCTCAGCTCTGTTCCTTCCTGTTGCCCAAACAGAGTCAAACACTTTCTTTTTTTTTTTTTTTTGTCGGTCGTGGGGCTTGAACTCTGGGCCTGGGCGCTGTCCCTCAGCTCTTCAGCTCAAGGCGAGCGCTCTACCACTTGAGCTACAGCGCCACTTCCGGTTTTCTGGTGGTTTATTGGAGATAGGAGTCTCACGGTTTCTCCTGCCCGGGCTGGCTTTGAACCACGATTCTCAGATCTCAGCCTCCTGAGTAGCTAGGATTACAGGCGTGAGCCACCAGCGCCCGGCTAGAGTCAAACACTTTCACTCCTTTGTGTTCAAAATCCTTGAGGTTAGTGAACTGACTTGCCTGCCGTGTACCTCCTTTTTGTAAATACAATAGTGGGTTTTACTCCTTACCATCGATTAATTAACTAAATTCACTTGGATCCACACAGAAGTGACATGTCCTTTTCTGGATTGCACACTATACAACTATGTTTTACTTTATCTAATAAAGTTAACATAACTTAACTTGTTTGAGGGTTCTTAGTTTCCCATATTTCTTCCTTCTCATCTCTCTTTCCTTTGCACAGAGGAAAAAACCATTTGGAATTGTGAAGAGTGAGTTTTTAGTCATTCTCTGAAAAGCTTTGCCAATGAATCCTGATTTCCAAGTCCTGAGCAACTGGCCTGTAAAGCCTTGTTCTTTAATCTCTCCTCAGCTGACACAAATGACCATATATATCTAAAAAAGGCTTTGGGAAATGAGTTCAGGTTATCAGTCAGGAATCCTTATTACCTGGTCACTGCGCATAAGTTGTTTTTGGTTTTTTGTTTTGTTTTGTTTGAATAGATCAAGCAGTGTGTACAATTTATTAGTACCAGAATTAGACGTCCAAGTATTTTTTAAATTCAAGGCTCTTTATTTTTTGCTGGTAAATAGGACAGAAGTGTCCCACAGCAAGCCAAGGGCCCTACACAGTATCCTCAAATCTGAGGACTGTGGTTCACAGCCAGCTTGGGCAGGAAGTCAATGAGCCTCTTATCTCCAACTAATCAGCAAAAAGAATTGGAACTGTTGCTGAAGTGGTAGAGCAGCAAAATTGAACATAAAAAAGCTAAGAAAAAGCTAAGGAAAAAGAGGAAAAAATAAAGCTAAGTGAAAAACAGATCTAGCGCTAAGACAACCACAATAATTTTTTTAAAAAGTGGAAGAGAGCACAAAGAGTCTTAAAAATGATAAAATTAACAAGAAACTAGTGGCTCACACTTGTAAGGACAGGAAAGCCCATTGCGTGTGTGTGTGTGTGTGTGTATGTGTGTGTGTGTGTGTGTGTGTGTGTGAATGTGCGTGCACGCGTATGAGTGTGTGTGTGTTCCTTTCTGTGATATGAAGTACAAGTTTTTGTTTGACCATTTCCAATCTTTTGGAGGTTAATTTGAGATAAGAGTCTCATGAATGTTCCTTGTCCCCTGACATTGAATCATAATCAGTATAATTCAGGACCCTATGGGAGTGTCTATACTTACCTCCTACTAACCACCAAAGCCAAAAAATGAACCAAATTGCAACTGTTACTACAGTTTTAGAGCATGCTATCCTTCAGCAAGATTGGTGAGGCCCTAAAAACAAGACAGGGAACAAACAAATGAGTAAATGTATGTGAAGAAAAAAGGGCCAATTAGTTTTTTTTAAATATAGACTCATACCTTTAATACAAGCTGAAATGTAAAGATCAGAGTTCAAATCCAGCCTGGGCAGGAAAGTCAAACTAACTTCTTTTTGAGTGTGCTAGAAATGGGCTTGAAGTTAAGGGTTTTTACTCAAGTTTAAAAATACTACTTCCTGTCTCATGTGGTTCATTGGAGATGAGACTGATGGACTTTCCAGCCCAGGCTGGCTTCAAACTGTAATCCTTAGATTTTAGGATATTGTGTAGTGCTTTGGTTCCCATGGGACTCTTATCTGCTATTAACCACTAAAAGAAAAATAGAGGCGGAAGTTGAGCTGAGGCTCAACCAGTAGAGCCTGCTAGCTTTGAAATGAAAAACAAAATACCCAAAACAAAACAACCCTCAGCGAGAGTCACTAGGCCTTGAATTCAAGCCTCCCCACTGCCAAAAAAAAAAAAAAAACCCTTCAGGAGTTGAGTTTTTGTTCCTGTAGCTTTGAGCAAAAAACAAAAGGCCAAAAATCTCATCGACAGTGAAGTAGTGTGGCCTAAATGTAGAGCCTGGTAGTATTGATGTAAAAAAAAAAAACAAAAAACAAGCCAGGTGCCCCTGGCTCATGCCTATAATACTTGCTACTCAGGAAGCTTAGATCTGTGAGTCACATTTGGAAGCCAGCCTAGTCTAAAAAGTCCCCTGGTGACTGTTTTTTCCAACTAAGTAGAAGTGGCACTGTGTCTGAAAGTAGCAGTATGCCTGCTGTGTCCCTGACGGACAGTGCCTAGGCACTGAGTTCAAGCCCCACAACTGACAAAATCAGTAAAATGATTAATTTAATAAATGCTAAGCATAAATGGGTAGGACCTAATAATAAAGGACATGAACTTTGAAAAAGTGGGAAGGGACAATCAAATAAATGAAAAGGTGCAAAAAGGAGCATATTAAGGCTTTCTAAGTCAAAACTGTAATTCTACCTGCTCAGATTACTGAAATCTGAGGATTGTGGTTCAAAGTCAGTGCAGGTAGGAAAGTACAGGAGACATATTTTACTGTGTTCAGTATGGGATCTTGAACTTGCTATGTTTTGCTCATGGCTAGAGGTCTACTTCTTACCTCTTGATGGTTAGTAGAGATAATTGTCTCATTGACTTTCTTGCCCAAGACTGGCATTGAGCCATGATTCTCAGATTTCAGTCCTCTCTGTAATGCTCTTGACTTGCTCTTGATATTCTAATCTCCTATTAACCACAAAAAATGCAAAAGTTGAGCTGTGGCTCAAGTAGTGAAACCAGCTTCTATTAATGTAAAAATAAATAAACCTCAAGGAAAGTCATCGTGACTTAATTTCAAGACATAACAACCACCACTCAATTTAAAAAAATAAAACTCAGTCACTGTGACCTGAGTTTAAGCCCTAGAAAGAGAGCTACAAAAAAGAAAAACAGCCTGTAGTTCACCTGTGGTCAAAGTTGTAGAGCATGGTAGTTTCAAGAGAAAGAAAAAAAAAACAGCATAAGAACTAGCACCTAAGAACAAATACCAAAAAGAAAGAAAGAAAGAATAAATAACTGAAAAGGTGAAAGAAGAGGTAATTAAAGATTTGTAAATGTTGACTCATACTTATTATTATGAATTCTAAGGACACTGAAATCTGTAGATCATGGTTCAAAGCCATCCTGGTCAGAAAAGTCCATGAAACTTTCTTCAGTGTGTTCAATAGAGGGACTTAAAGTTGAAGCGTTTTGCTCATGGCTACAGCTCTACTATCTTCCGCCTATTAGGTTGACTGGAGATAAAAGTCTCATTGACTTTCCTTCCCAGGCTGACTTTGAACTCTGTTCCTCAGATTTCAAGCCTCTCTGTACTGCCCTGGACTACCCATGGGATTCTTGCCTCATATTAACCACTTAAAAAAAGGCAGAAGTTTAGCTGTGGCTCAAGTAGTAGAGCCATCTACCCTTCAGTTAAAAAAGTAAATCAATAAAACCTCAGAAAGAGAGGAGAAGAATGAGTGTGAAAGACAGAACATCTTACAGTAAGCAAAAGGAAAGAAATGTAAATATCACCTGGAAGAAATTATTGTATTATCAAAGCTTATAGAATTGAATTGTCAAAGCTTATAGAATTCACAAACTTTATCGACCATGATAATGACAATTTGCATTGTGAAGGTTAAAATATGTTTGTGACTTCAACTAAATATCACTATTCTACAATATTCTGAAATAAGAGAAATTTAGGTAATCACCTAATCTCAATAATAGTAAACATCTCACAAAGAGTCACCAGGTCTTAATTTCAAGCCCTAACACCAACCTGCCTAACTCTGGCCAAACACACACACACACACACACACACACACACAGAACAGGAGCTGAGTTCTCACGCTCGGAGCAGAAGCCAAATGAAACAAAAAGTAGACTGTAGTAGACCTATGGCTTAAGTTATAAAGCAAGCTACTTTTAAGAGAAAAGAAAAGAAAACCTGAGTATGAAGGCAAAGCCCTAAACCCATGACTCTTCCCAGAATGGAAAGTGGATCAGTCACGGAATCCAACAGTTTGTGCTTGCTCTTGGGATCACAGCTGAAAGTGCCCCTTCAGTTCTAGGGCCTCCAATCAAAAATTGAATGTAGGCTTGTTCTTGGCTTCTGGAACAAGTACCTTGTGTAGAGGAAGCCCCTTCTCTTGCTTCCTGGATCCCAGGGTTCAGCTTCTTTTGTGAGTCAGGGTGGGGAGGTGGGTGGCAGTGTGACAAGAGGTTCCAAATAGAGTGGCAACTGTGCTAATTGATTTGAGGCTGACAGCTGGATGCCAAAACTAAGTGGTAACTGGTAGCTTTCTCTGATTACCCAGCAGTAGTGAGAATGAGTTGGAGCACCTGCTGGCTCTGCCTACCAAGTCCACCCCACCGCCTCTGCCCCTGTAACAACCAGAGTTTTAAATGGGGATCTGAGTTGGCTGTGTTAGATTCCTGCTCCCCAGCCCTACCTGTTTGCCTCTGTGTGCACCAATGCTGAAGACACACATCCAACTGCTCTGCAGCCCTACACCATGAGGGAGATCGTGTACATACAGGCAGGCCACTGTGGCAGCCAGATTGGCGCAAAGGGGAGCATGGCACTGGCCTAGGATCCTAGTCTCAAATTTAGGGGGATGAGGAGGAAGAGGATGGTGTTGTAGGGTGGAGGTGGTGGTGGTCATGTCTAGGCTGAGGTAGGTGGGGCTTCATAGTAGTCCCTAACTTCCTGGAAATCAAGTCCACCAGATAGCTTCCCCAATTTCCCTAATTTGTGTGGCCCAGATGGGTGTGTTTTTTTAAGCAAGGCTGGGGTGGTTTCAAATCCCTTGCATGTCTTAGTCTTACCTTAGACTCAAGTCATTGTACTTACTTTCCTGGGAATAGACTAATGCATTTTTGGTCAGGTTTGAATGAAAGGAGTGCAGTGTCTTTGAGCTGACAGATACAGAGGATTCCCTTTTTGTCAACTGATGAGTAACTGATAATTGAGAACAGTTCTTCCACCTTAATGCAAATTTCTCTGAGTTTTCATGCTCCCTTAAGTTGGGTGTTTTCTAAATCAGTGGTTGTCGGTGTATGCTCTGAGGACCCTTGTGGTTCTGGAGACCCTTTTAGCTGAGTCTTCAAGTTACTGCTTTGGCAATTTCATGTCCATGTAAGGCCAGGTTCTCATCATAGAATCCAAACAGAATATGGTATCCCATAAGATGGAATACTCATAGGAGGACCTAGATGGTGTCTATTCAGCCAGATAGTAAAGAGATTAACAAAACTAAAATACCATCAATTTTTGTGCTTTTTTAAATTTAGAAAATCTAATTTTTTTTACAAAAATATTTGTGTCAACAGGACTTGGGTTTCTTATAGTTATTTTAAAATCCATTGTTTGGACAGCTAACATTCTATGCCATAATGCACTTCTATTTCCATCTCAGTTTTGGGAAATCTAAGCGATGAGCACAACATTGACGGCTCTGGCAACTACTATGGAGAAAGTAGCGTACAGCTGCAGAGAGTCGAGGTGTATTACAATGAGGCAGCTGGTGAGTGTCTTCCTCTGGCTTCCAATACCGTGGCAGAATAGGTCCCCGGGGAATACTAATGACAAGGAAGGAGTTCCTGCCTTTCTTAGGGTGGTATTGTAGTTCGAATTTGGGGCCTCGATCTTGTAAGCCAAGTGCTGGATCCACCTGAGCCACTCCACCATATATCTTGTTTTAATTTTTGAGTATACTCTTGTGAATTTCCTCAGGAAAGCCTTTTACTGAATTCCCCCTACCTATACTTGCTGACTAGCCACACCTGGATTTTTTTTCTTTTGGTCATGGGGCTTCAACTCTGGGCATAGGCATTTTCCCTCATCTTTTCAACTCAAGACAAGCAGCTCTACCACTTAAGCCACAGCGCCACTTCTGGTTTTCTGGTGGTTTATTGGAGATAGTGTCTCGCCGTCTTTTCCTGCCCTGGCTGGCTTTGAACTGTGATCCTCTGACCTCAGCCTCCTGAGTAGTGAGGATTACAGGCATGAGCCTGTTTTACATCATTAAAAATGAGACTGCCTAAATATGTATTCTAAAACAATTGATAAAATATAATTTAAATACCATTCAATTCCATTTTGTTGTGTGCTAGTCATCCTTCTAAGCTCAAGGCCTGGGCAGTGACCATGAGCTTCTTTTGCTAAAGGCTAATGTTCTACCACTTAAGCCACATCTCCAGTACCAACTTGCGAAAGACCAGCTCGGCCGGAGCACTGGGACCGGTGGGACAAAGATCTCGGTATAGGTGGGCAAGGAGTCTACGAAGTGACAAACAGACACAGACTCAAAAGAGTTGAATCTGAGTGTATCTTTATTGAGGAGAATTAACATTTTTATGCAGTGTGAGATTGTGACATAGATTTTTTTGTTTATTTAAGCACATAATCAATTTTTAAGAAAAGCAAAGCATTGATGGATTACATGAAAATTGATGACTATCCCACCAACTGTTTAAGCTAAGTGATGCGAAACAAGTCTAGCATATAGGTAAATAGAATGCGTCATCTATTCAGCCTTTTTATGTTTACTAATTAACAAACCTAAGACAGGGTTGTACTTATATTGTACTCTTTTTATTTTTTTCATATACTTTTAAGTCCCTTTGAAACTATCCTAAAAACCACTTCCAGGTTGAGTCAAACATTCTCCGTTTTCTATAATTTTAATCCCAATATTTGTTCACATAAATTTCTAATTATTAATTTAAACTATCTTATTGTCGTTTTAATAATAAACACCATAATGGTCTAGATCTACCTAATCTTTGCACAAAATCTAATGAGTTCCAAAATACCTTTTTGTCTTTTACATTAATCTATCTATTTACATCTTTATCAGCTCCTGTATAAGGCAATGGTTCATCAGTCGGTTCAGGAAATGTGATGTCACTAACTTTATATTTTGTGGGAAACCACCATCTATCCCCTATAATGTAAGCTGGACTAAACTTAATCATAACTGTTGGGGGAATCTTTCTTTTCCTTTTATTATCAGGGGTTCCTTTTTTTAGAACTCTCTGAGCTTCTGGGATAACTCCTTCTAGCTTAGTTTAATTCATTAATTCTGCTTGTTGTAACATATCTGGAAATTTTGTTTTTATGTTTACTATGTGTGAGCCACAAAACCACTTGTGAAGTTGTAGGAGTTTTGGAGGTAGCATCACATCAGACGATAGATTGATTGGGGCATCGCCCACATTTAATCTTTGGTCCTAGTCTTTACTATTTAGAGAAGCTATCTCTATTGGACTGGAAAGAAACAACATGCTTTGTTCGTGGATCAATAGAAAAATAGCCAAAATGAGAATAAAGGCAATGAATGTCCAGCCAAGAAGAATATAGGTAAGAATAATGTAAGAATAAAGGTAGAGGATATAAAGGTGCAGCCGAATGTATGGGAAGCCTTGAACCAACACACTCTTCCTGCAGGCATGCTCCCTTGAAGGTCTTTGTCTAAGGTGATATCTCATGCAGATTCCGCAGGAGGTGGCATGGCACCAAATATTTCAGGTAGTTTTTTGGAGAGGAGAGTCTCCCAGAATTTCCTGCCCCAGCTGGCTTCAATCTGCGATCCTTAGATCTCAGACTTTTGAGTAGCTAGAATTACACCCTTCAGGAACCAGAGCCCAGTTGCATTGCCCTCTTTAAAATACAGATTAAATTTCTAAAAATCATTTTGAAATTGAAAATTTTAAAAATTTAAAGAGGGATGTTCAGTCACTAATATATATGTGAATAGTCCAAATCACAAAGCATAAAGTGTCTCACCCTGAAATCTATAACAGTTCTGGTCTTGAGCATTTTGAATATGAATACTTAGCCAACAACCAATTCTTTTTAAAGTTTTTAAAGTGAAAAACATTGCTGTGATGTAGAAAAACCCAATAATAATGTGTAAACATTGCTTTTAAATGATTCATATTGTCTTTCCTAATACAAACAACCTAACTGATGTCTACAGAGTAGATTTTCAGTTTTTGTAACAGTCAATGTGAAATTCATTTAATTTTATATAAAGAGTTTCCATTCTACATTATTGTATACAAACAGAACCGTAGATAATTGGTTTTCCTGTGTTATAAACCAATGAAAAAGTGCAAACAAAAGGACAAAGCTATTTAATGTATTGGAGTTTTATGGATCTACATTTTGGGATGTCCTCACCTTGGTATTTTGTGTTAATATAGTTTAAGTAAGATATATGACTTTAATCTTGTGGTTCCTTGGTTAAGAGTCATTGTGTGGGATTGTGTCACTCGTATGAACAGTATTTTATGTTGTGTCTTTATTAGATCCTGTGTATCAGGCAGGATAGGATGGCCAGTTTTCTTCATGTGATTGTTTAGGAAAAGGGACAGTCTCAAACTGATGTTTATATCATTTTAACTGATGTCCCTTTTGACAAATCAGGTTAAATGGCAAATTGCAAGTAATTGTCCAAGGTTGCTCTGAGTATTTGAATACAGGGAAATGTGCTATTTGATAACAATTATTGAAACATTATAACACAAGAAATATGTATTTTATGTATTTTTCCCAGGAAAGCATTATACTTGAATTCCCCCTACATCTACTTGCTGAAGAGCCACACCTGGCTCTTTTGTTTGTTTGTTTGTTTGTTTGTTTTTTTGTTGGCAGTGGGGCTTAAACTCTGGGCCTATACACTGTGCCCCAACTCTTCAGCTCAAGGCAAGCAGCTCTACCACTTAAGCCACAGTTCCATTTCTGGTTTTCTATTAGTTTATTGAAGATAAGAGTCTCACAGACTTACCCTGCCCAAACTGGCTTTGAACAGCGATCCTCTGATCTCTAACTTCAGAGTAGCTAGGAATATAGGCATGAAGCACTGGTGCTCAGCACTTAGCTACTTTCTTGAGAAAGGTAATTGGGGAAGGGAAGGGATAGTGGGAGAACAACAAAGGAGTGTGTAACAATGTTCGACAATAAATGTTCTCATTTCCTTACTCTGGTAACTGTAACTCCTCTATACAGCACCTTTCCAATAAAAACAAAATTAACAAAAAAAGAGAAAGGTTCTTGCTGATAGGCAATGGTGACTCACACCAGTAATCCTAGCTACTCAGGAGGCTGAGAAATGAGAATCATGGTTCAAATCCAGCCTGGGCAGGAAAGTCCCTGAGACCTTTATCTCCAATAAACAACTCAGAAAACTAAAAGTGGGAATGTGCCTCAAGTGATAGAATGCTAGCCTTGAGCTGAAGAGCTGAGGGACAGTGCCCAGGCCCAGAGTTCAAGCCCCATGATGAACCAAAAAAAATATTGTCATCTTTCTTTTGCCCCATTAGACTCAAAGCCTGATGCTCATCTTTGCCTCCTGAGTAGCTGAGATTTCAGCCACCATGCCCAAAGCAAAGGAATGAATATTCATGAAAATAGACAACTGCCAACGTCCTTAAAGTTGCTGAAGCCTCTTGCATGGGGGTTCATGCTCAAGATATCTTTTCTGTTTCCATGTCTGAAATGCTGTAATTTCTGTAATGAATGCTGAGAGCCACTTAGAATCATAAGCTCTGCCCCTAAGTTCCTTGTCAAGTATAGGCCTAAGTTAACTCTTGTTCCCACAGCCAACAAATATGTTCCTCGGGCCATCATGGTGGACCTAGAGCCTGGCACCTTAGACTCAGTAAGATCGGAACCATAGAGTTTCAGACCAGAAACTTCATATTTAGTATGTCATCATGGTCCATGGAAGATGGCTAACAGGCACCCCTCTTCCCTAACATCCAGGCACTCCAGTTCCCAGTGGTGAGCTGAGCCTTTATCCATCTAGATATCATCCTCACCTAAACCACTTATTTCAGACATATCATGTCCCTGGCCACTCAATCAGCACAGATAAATGCCAGTCTGCAAGCAGCCTCTGAAGGGAATGAACAGCGAGCAAGGAAAGCTTCCAACAAGGTCCTCAGCGCTGATGGCGATTTCAAATGCCTGGCAATAACAGGGAACGACTTCAGGACTTAAGTGGTAGAGCGCTAGTCTTGAGCTGAAGAACTGAGGGTCAGCGCCCAGGTCTAGAGTTCAGGCCCACGACTGGACCCCAAAAAAGAAAACATTTCCTTTATTCCACCAAAGTGTATCTAAAATAATAGCAAAAGTTGCTCAGAAGAGCCTATAGCCTTCACAATGCAAATAGCACAGTCATTATTCCTGGAGTATGTGTCTCATCATGTCTTTGTGTCTGATAGGCCAGAACCGGGCCAACAGCCACTACACAGAGGGAGCCGAGCTGCTGGAATCAGTGCTGGAAATGGTGAGGTGGAAAGGTGTGGCTGTCTCCAGGGTTTGTAGCTGGCCAACTCCCTGGGAGGTGGCACCAGGTCAGGCATGGGCACCCTGATTCTCAACAAGATCCGAGAGGAGTTCCCTGATAGAATCATGAACACCTTCAGTGTCATCCCTTGCCCAAGATGTTGGACACTGGCACCTTAGACTCAGTGAGATCGGAACCATTTGGCCAGAGTTTCAGACCAGACAACTGCATATTTGGTATGTCATCATAGTCCATAGGAGATGGCTAACAGGCACCCCTCCTCCCTAACATCCAAACACTCTAGTTCCCAGTGCTGGGCTGAGCCTTTATCCACCTAACCCTATCATCCTCACCTAACCCTACAATATCATCTTGTCTGTCCACCAGTTGGTGGAAAATGCAGATGAAACTTTCTGCATTGACAACGAGGCCCTGTATGACATCTGCTTTCACACCTGTGTGTGACATCCCCCCGCATGGCCTCACGATGTTGGCCACATTCATTGGCAACAACACGGTCATCCAGGAACCCTTTAAGCACACCTCAGAGCAGTTCAGTGCCACGTTGAGGCACAAGGCATTCTTGCACTGGTACACGGGCGAGGGCATGGACGAGACGGAGTTCACTGAGGCTGAGAGCAACATCAACGACCTGGTGTCCAAGTATCAGCAGTGGCATCTTGGCAGGGGGAATTTGAAGAAGTCTTGTGGAGGAAAAGGTCTAAGATTTCCCATTGCCAGCAGTGCAACAGGAATGCCAGAGCCTGCCTACTGCTTCTCAAATGAATGGTGCTTTCCTGAGCTACTGTTGTCCTGCAGTGGGACCTTGCTATGTATCATCATGCTCAGCCTTCCCTGTCAGGAATTCACTGACGGTGAATGTAAAAATGCAGATTTCTTTTAAATATTATTGTTTAAAAACCCTATTTATATAAATAAAAAAGTATACATTTTATACCCTGAGCCCTTATTCTTCTTTAGAATCCTTTTTATTCTTTCAGTGTATTTGAAATATAAATTTGGCCAGGAGGATTTAATCTTAGCAATATAGGACTGGTGCTCAAGAGTAGTATTAAATTCATGGTGTTTCTGCTATTTTGAAGAGGAGGATGACAAGAGCCAATGTTGTTGTTTTTTCCCCTTGGCCCAGTTTTATAGTTTTCAATCTCCCAAAAGCATGCCAGTAGCAAAAAGCAGTTTGGAGAGAAAGAAAACTAGATCCAGATGCTACTTCTCCTTCAGACAGCCACAGGTTTTTGTCTCATTATCCATCAGAGGGATTTCAATCACATTCTCCAGAAACAATATCAGGAACACTGATCCCTGTGTTTAGAGTTCAATTGGCAATGAAGCAGCACTCACAGGATGAGTGCAAGTTCTTGGTTGCCAGGATAGTTTCTCAAGGCATCTGGCAACTTTAAGTACAGAAATGACTCTAGCTGTTTGAGGGAATGAGAGGCTGAGAAGCTGACCAGTCCCATAGTGTATTGACCAGTCCCAACTGCTTGACACAGTACTTCCAAGTCAAACAGAGGAGGGGAGACATGGCCTCTCCCAATGACCCATACTCATGTTCATTTTTTCCAGCAGTGAAAGCTGTCTGAGGCCCACAGGGTGTTGTAAGGACATAAGGGATGGATGGATCTAGCCTGTTGGGTATGTTTACTTTACATGAGTGAGACAGAAATCTCAATTGTTTAGAACCTACAATGGCCAGGAAGAGATTGAAGACTTTTGTTTTCACTGGAAGCCAAATCAGTCACTGATTCTTTTTGCCAGAATCTTTCACTCTTCCCTCAGTGAGGCTCCAGGCAGGTTGTCTGTGCCAAGCATTCTTCCATGGCAACCAATAACCTGTAAGAGTCCCTTTTTCTTCAGAAACAGGACCTATGGGAATACTGCAACTTATAGAAAGCTCTAAGGAAAAGGTACTACTGGATGAGGTGGAAGTCCCTCACTGCTAGTAAAGTTGGGAGATGGTAAGTTCCATAAGCTTTCCTTTACCAGGCATGAGGTTGGGGTAGGGTGGGAAGGGATGGGATAGAGATCTTTATGCCAAGCTGGCCTCACTCATTAGGAAGTAAACTGTCCCAGAGGGTGATCTGTGACTAGAAACAGGTTGTTTTCTGTCCTTGCCCCAGGGCAGATCAAAGTGCAAATAGCTTCCATTGTAGGAGTCCTAAGGAGTAAGTGTTGACACCTCAGGGTCTCTAGTCCTAGAACTGACCAGGTCGGATGACCCCAAATCTTCTAAGGCTGCTGGGTCAGAACTGAAGGCAAGCATGGCCAAGGCACTTTCATCCCTCAGTGGGTTAAGAATTGAGGGCAAGCTGTGATGGAGGCACCACCCAGCCTATCTACCAGTGTTTGACTAAGAACATTTTTGATTTCTCTTAAGTACCCATTTATGAGTCTTTTCTGGTGGCTTTGGCTTATTTCTTTACAATTTTGAAGTAGTTATGGTTCATAATTAATGACTCATGCCTCACATCTTAGAAAACTCCTGTTGATAATTTTACCAGTAGATCACCATGAATTTCTCAGGAATGGCTTTTGTTTTCTCCTAGCCAGAGCTTTGCATTCATTGCCACACAAGCTAATGTTGAATTAATTCCTATAGATAGGTGATTTTTTTGTCCAATTGCAAAGTGCAGCATCTCCCTTATTTTCACGTACCTTAGTAATTGTATCAAATACTTAATAGAGTTCTTGACAAGCATGATAAGCAAAGTTCAGAGGTGAAGATACAGCTCAGTGGTAGAGTACATGCCTGGCATGCACAAGACTCTCAGTTCAGTCCCCAGCACCAAAGAGAGGAAAGGCAAGTAATGTTACGCTCAGGAGAGGATACATTAGGACTCATAGAAAAACAGCACCCAGATTGGCATTGAGAAGTTGTGTCCTGAGGGAACACAGGTAGAATGTTTGTAGGGGGAAAGAAGAGAGCCCCTTGATGTGTGTACCCTTTTAGAAAGCAGAGGTAGAAACAGGGGATGGACCTCTGGTAGTCAGCCTAGGCCATGGGAGGAAGAAACCATGACATGTATGTTACTCTAATGGGACCAGAGTGTAAAGTGGCACCACCATACCAGGCCATGGCCCAACAAGAACAGGTTTGTCAGAAGGACTTTCTTGCATTGGAGAGGTGTCTTTTGACCACTTTGGCTTTGTTAATGGTATTTCCTTATGCTGTTCCTTTTTCCTTCCAACTTGTCATACCTATAGAATATCCTGTCCAGGAGACCCATTCTTTCTAATCTCATTCTCTAAAAGTCTCCCAGTTTATAGCTGTACGTATCCTAGACCAAAAAAGTAGGGGGTGGGCATTCTGTCAGACATAGATTGAAACTGAAAGGTATCTTTGAAGTAGACTTTGACAAGGTTCTGGTATTGACAGTCTTGTGTTGATATGTGCTGTGATTGCAACCAGCTTCTGGTCTAATTCTGAAATGACAGTGGGAGAGAAATGGTGATAAGACATCATGGACCACTATGATTTCAAACCCTTCTCAGGTACATCCCCATTCATGGATGTGCTATCAGCCAACCTACAGATGTCTGTTAAAGGAGTGATGGCTGGGAAAAGGAAATTTATTGGCCACAGATGAGACCAGCCTTTGGACAAGTGGTTGCCTTTCAGTGTGAGGCAAAGAGTGCCTACCTATACAGAGATATTTTTCAGGAAGCAAGACGATTCACCCACATCTTGTTATCCACAAAATAATCTGAGAAGAACTCTGTAAACCCAGAGGTGGGAGTCATGTGCTTTGCATTTCTGTATGACTGCTTTACTTCATGGCTCTTTTTTTTTTTTTCTAATTTAATTTTATTTTATATGAGAACATACTGTACAGAGGGGTTACAATTACATGGGAAGGATAATGCATACATTTCTTACCAAGCATTGCAGCCTCCTCCTTTGTTTACCCTTCACCTCCCTTCCCCCCCCTCCCCCCTCCCCCCCACCCAATCAAAACCATCTCCCCCCCCCACTCCGACATTGTAAAGCTGGTTTTGACATGACATTTTGTACTTCTGATTGTTGCAACAGGTCCACCTGAATCCTTAAACGACTTGTTTGTCCCCGTCTCCTCCACATGTTATACTGACATCAAATATAGTGAAAGCGGGGGTTACACTGTGGGGGAGGGACATACAAAGCAACAAAGAAATAATCTTATAAATGCATTAGAAACACATGCATGAAAGAAACAAAAACATTAAAATACATATTTGAGGGTTCGTTTTCCTAACATCACATTATCTGACTTTTTCCGCTTGACTCATACCTATACTAGATATTGCAAATAAGGGAAACCATGGGACCTATGTTTCTTTGGGCCTGGCTTACTTCACTTAATATAATTTTTTCCAAGCCTTTCCATTTCCTAACAAATGGGGAAATGTCATTCTTTCTGATGGAGGCATAGAATTCCATTGTGTATATATACCACATTTTCTTGATCCATTCATCTACTGAGGGGCATCTGGGTTGGTTCCATATCTTAGCTATGGTAAATAATGCTGCAATAAACATAGTTGTGCTAGTAGCTTTAGTGTGGTCTTTTTTGTAAACATTAGGGTAAATGCCCAAAAGTGGGATTGCTGGGTCATAGGGGAGTTCTATGTGAAGTCTTTTGAGGAACCTCCATACTGCTTTCCAAAGTGGTTGAACAAGTTTACATTCCCACCAACAATGAAGTAAGGTTCCTTTCTGTCCACATCCCCTCCAGCATCTGTTGTTGTTAGAGTTCTTGATTTTTGCTGTTCTAACTGGAGTGAGGTGATATCTCAATGTTGTTTTGATTTGCATTTCTTTTATGGCTAGGGATGTTGAACATTTCTTCATGTGTCTATTGGCCATCCTTCTTTCTTCTTCAGAGAAGCTTCTCTTTAAGTCTTTCGCCCACTTACTTATTGGGCAGTTGTTTCTTTGAGGATTTGTTGTTGGGTGGTTTAATTTTTTGAGTTCCAAGTATATTTTAGATATGAGACCCTTGTCCGTTGTATGGCTAGTAAAGATCTTCTCCCAATCCGTGGGCTTTCTATTGATCTTGCTAGCTATGTCATTTGCCCTGCAGAAGCTCTGCAACCTTATGCAATCCCATTTGTCCAACCTTTCTTTGATTTGTTGTGTTTCCGGGTCTCTATTCAGAAAATTTCGGCCTGAGCCAAGGAGACCCAGGGTTTCTCCTATTCCATCCTGTAATGTTTTCAGAGTGTCTGCTTTGAGTTCAAGGTCTTTGATCCATTTGGAGTTGATTCTGGTGCAGGGTGATATATAAGGATCTAGCTTTAGTTTTCTACATGTAGTTAACCAGTTTTGCCTGCACCATTTACTGAAGAGGCTGTCTGTCTTCCATTCTATTGTTTTAGCTCCCTTATCGAAGATTAGATGGCTATAGGTCTGTAGGTTCATTTCTGGGTTTTCAATTCTATTCCATTGGTCCTGAGGTCTGTTCTTATGCCAATACCAAGCTGTTTTGATTACTATGGCTTTATAGTAGAGTTTGAAATTTGGTATTGATATTCTTCCAGCAGTGTTCTTTCCGTTGAGGAGCGTTTTTGCTATTCGGGGTCTTTTATTGTTCCATATGAATTTTTGGATTGCCTCTTCTATTTCCTGGAAGAATGAGGGTGGAATTTTGATAGGTATTGCGTTGAATTTGTAGATAGCCTTGGGAAGTATTGCCATTTTCACGATGTTAATCTTTCCAATCCAGGAGCATGGGAGGTTTTGCCATTTTTTAAGTTCTGTGTTGATTTCCTTTTTCAAGATTTTAAAGTTTTCATCATAGAGGTCCTTCACTTCTTTAGTTAAGTTAATTCCTAGGTATTTTATTTTTTGTGGGGCTATTACAAATGGAGTTGCTTTCCTAATTTCAGCCACAGTTTTCTCATTGTTGGCATACAGAAAAGCCATTGATTTTTGGGGGTTAATTTTATAACCTGCTACTTTGCCAAAGTTTTGAATCAGCTTGAGTAATTTGGGAGTGGAGTCTATGGGATTCTTTAAATACAAGATCATGTCATCTGCAAAGAGGGAGAGTTTTATTTCTTGTTTCCCTATTTGGATCCCCTTTATGTCTGCATCTTGTCTTATTGCTGTAGCTAGGCATTCTAATACTAGATTGAAGAGAAGTGGAGAGAGTGGGCATCCTTGTCTTGTTCCTGAGTTAAGGGGAAATGGCTTTAGTTTTTCACCATTGAGTATTATGCTGGCTGTAGGTTTGTCATATACAGCCTTTATTGTATTGAGGAATGTTCCATGGATTCCTAATTTTTCCAAAACCTTCATCATAAAGGGGTGTTGGATCTTGTCGAATGCTTTTTCTGCGTCTATTGAGATAACCATGTGGTTCTTATTCTTGCTCCTGTTGATGTGATGAATAATATTAATTGATTTGCGTATATTGAACCAGCTTTGCATCCCTGAAATGAATCCTGTTTGATCGTGGTGTATGATTTTTTGGATGAATTGTTGAAGTCGGTTGGCCAAAATTTTGTTGAGAAGTTTTGCATCAATGTTCATCAAAGAAATGGGTCTATAGTTCTCTTTCTTTGATGAGTCCCTGCCTGGTTTTGGGATGAGGTTTATGATGGCTTCATAGAATGTGTTCGGTAGTGAGCTTTCTCTTTCAATTTCATTGAAGAGTTGGAGGAGAATTGGTGTGAGCTCTGTTTTGAAGGCCTTGTAAAATTCCGCTGTAAAACCATCTGGTCCTGGACTTTTCTTAGCTGGGAGGTCTCTTATTGCTGTTTCTATTTCAATGCTTGGTATGGGCCTGTTAAGATAGTTTACCTCATCTTGGTTTAGTTTTGGCATGTCAATATTTGCTAGGAAGAGGTCCATTTCTGTCAAGTTCTCAAACTTATTAGCATAAAGTTTTGAGAAGTATTCCCTTATAATGTTCTGAATCTTGGTTGTTTCCGTGGTTATGTTTCCATTCTCATCTCTGAGTTTATTAATTTGGGTGTGTTCTCTTCTTTTTCTGATAAGATTTGCTAAGGGTCTGTCAATTTTGTTAAGTTTTTCGAAGAACCAACTCTTTGTTTTGTTGATTCTTTCTATAGTTTTTTTGGATTCTAATTTACTTCATGGCTCTTTATGCTCTTCTGAAACCTCCTACTGAGCTGGCCCACAATGTGCCCAGGAGGCAGGAATTAAAGGGGACTTGGTAGCTTGGCTGCTAATCACTCTGGCCACACTGACTTAGGGCTGCAGGCATGTGCTGGGCATCTGCCCCATTCTAGTGGTACGGGCTCCAGTGGGAGCTTTGACTCTTACCAGGAGAAGCTCACAGTGCCTCTGTCTTTGAGCCATCTCCCAGGTCAG